TCATACTAACTATGTCGAGCAAAAAAAGAAAGTGGTCGGACGAATATGTACAATATGGATTCACATGTATAATGGAACGTGATGGGAGTCAGCGTCCTAACTGCATGATTTGCCAATGCCAAGTTGAGCAATTCTAGTCTAGCACCGGCAAAACTAAGAGAACACTTCCTTAAGCTGCATGGAGATGGACAATACAAGAACACAACGCTCGCTGAATTCAAGCTGAAGAGAGGCAGATTTGATGAAAAGGCTACTCTGCCTGTTCTCGGCTTTGTACCCATCAACAAACCGATCCTCACAGCATCGTACGAAGTTGCTTACCTGATCGCAAAGCAGGGCAGACCACACACTATTGGTGAAACACTCATAAAACCATCTTGTGTTGAAGATGGCGAATATCATGCTGGGAAAAGCGGCTGAAGTTCACTTATCCCAAATTCCTCTTTCAAATGACACCATTAGCGACAGAATAGAGGACATGAGCAAAGACATCTTGGCTCAAGTAGTTGCAGATCTGATTTCAAGCCCGGCAAAATTCAGCCTTCAACTGGACGAGACCACAGACGTTTCCAATCTAAGCCAGCTTGCTGTATTTGTGCGCTATGTGAAAGACAACGTGATAAAGGAAGATTTTTTATTGTGTAAGCCTCTTACGACAACAACTAAGGCAGCCGATGTGAAGAAACTTGTGGATGACTTCTTCAAAGACAACAATCTTTTGTGGGATATGGTTTCTGCAGTTTGTTCGGACGGAGCTCCAGTCATGCTGGGAAGAAAGTTTGGTTTTGGTGCGCTAGTGAAAGCCGATGCACCACACATCATTGTTACTCATTGTATTCTGCACAGGCATGCGTTGGCAACAAAAACCTTGCCTCCAAAACTGGCAGAAGTATTAAAAATAGTTTTAATGGTTTTGTTCTTTGAACACTGATGTTGATGCACGGTTCATTTTGTGCACCAGTAAAATATATACCTATGTTTTGAATTGTATTTTTCCAATTAAGAAGGGTTCGGTGAATGCGCATATGAAACTGGTGGGGGTCAGTACCTCCAACAAGGTTAAGAACCACTGGTTTAGACATTGGGGGGTACCAATCTTTGGAACCCCTTGAGCAAGTTTATTCCATTTTTTCACAAATGTACATTTACTACACTGAATCTGTTTGCATAAAATGCCAAGTCACTAAACCCAGTCCCCTGTGTGTGCTCTCCAGGCTGCAGACAGCCGGTGCACCAGTTGTCTGCCAGTGATAACGGCAAATGGCTCGCTACAGCTAACACCGACTGTGAGGTCCATGTCTACAACCTTGACAAGCTGAAGGTCAGTTTGAACTCCCTCTCAGCCAAATCTTAATTTGTAGCCAAAGCAAAAACATCCAATGTCTGTCCGTCTTCAGCTTCATTGTACAGTCCCAGTGTACGGCTCATGTCCCACTGCCATGGCCATCCACCCTACAACCAGCAACCTGGTAGTGGTGCATGCTGACCAGCAGGTAAACACGGCATTCCACTCCTTCATCTTCTGCTCTCCCCTTTATGAGAAGAGTACGACAAAAGGTTTGTTAAACCTAAAGTGTGTGTGTGTGTGTGTAGATCTTTGAGTACTCTCTGGTGAAGAAGGAGTACACAGAGTGGAGTCGGAGGCTGCAGAAACAAGGACTGCACTCCATGTGGCTGGAGAGGGACACCCCCATCACCCATGTCACCTTCAATCCTAAAAATCCAGCTCACATCATCGTGCACGACATGTTTATGTTCTGTATCATCGATAAGAGTCTGGTATGTCGATGAACAACGAGTGGTGCTTGATCGCTGTTATGTCTCTTTCAGATTTCTGGATGGTGATGCTATGTTTCTGTGTTCTGTCTCCACATGCAGCCCCTCCCTGAAGCTAAGAATGTGCTCTACAATCAGATGGCCCTGAGGAGTCTGCCTGAGCCAGATAGGGTCCTACACAGCCATGGCTTTAAGATATGCAAAGATTTCCAGGTAGGGTTACCCTGAGCACAGTGGCACTCTGCTTCCACAATTCCACGAAATAAATCAAATCAAAGCTTAAAATGGTGCTTAATTTGTCATTTTAACAACATACATTGTAAAACGACTAGTTTTTGAACTTGTGGTTTTACTTGTTGTTACTTTGGTAGCTGGCTGGCAGAACACAAACCCATCAGCATCTGGAGTTTTTATGCAGAGAGAACTTGTGTGTGTGTATGTATGTATGTATGTACACGCACAAAAGTCACCGTCCTGAACAATAATTTAAACTGTCCCAAAGTCCGCTAGTATCAGGAAACATTCATTGCCATAATATGTCAGACATACAAGGAATTTGACTTGACGGTTGGTGCACAACAGCAGACAGTACGACAATGGACGTCAAGACAACAGTGCAAGAGAAATAAAATGAAATATAATACTATGGGTTAGTATTATAAGGCTATGGGTTAGTTTAAAAATAAAGGAATTAAAGTAAAAATAAAATAAAGTGCACCAGCGAACAGAAAGTGCCACGTGAAAGTGACGTGTGAAAGAAAGTTACCGATGGAATGTCAGAGTCAGTCAGTGGGGGACCGAGCTGTTAATGAGCCTGACTGCCGGCGAGAAGAAACTGTTTGTGTGGCGGGAGGTCTTAGTCCTGATGGACCTCAGCCTCCTGCCAGATGGAAGGGGCACAAACAGTTTTTGTCTGGGGTGAGAGGGGTCAGCTATGATCTTTTTAGTTCGCTTCAGGGTCTTAGAAGCAAACAAGTCCTAGAGGGACGGCAGATTGCGGCCGATAACCCTCTCTGCTGAGCGGGTGACACGCTGCAGCCTGTCCTGTTATTGCCCTATTAGTAGTAAGACCAGGTCAAAGTTCCCTCTCTAATATCGGTTTTATATTGCTATGCCTAAAACGTATTCAACTTCTTTAAATGAACTACACTCAGTAACATTTTTCTGATTTAGTTTGTTCTCCTGATTTTCAGCACCTCCTGTGTGTGAGTCTGTTGGAGGATCATTCTCTAGTGGTGGTGGAGCGCCCCCTGCTGGACATCGTGTCTCAGCTGCCTGCTCCTGTTCGCCAGAAGAAGTTTGCTACATAAAGGAAGTGTCTTCACCCCTTTTGTAAAACTGACTTTGATAAAGTAATACATGAATCAATTCAGAATTTTTTTTATGTATACATTGTGAGTTATGAAATAAAAAGTAATTCAGTGTTTAGCCACGTCTGCAGAACTGCAAATCCACAAGGTGCCGTTTGTTTAGTATTAAAGCTTTTGGATATTATGTGTCGAAGATATTTTCTTTAAAATTTGAGAAGGAGGGCATTGTTTCCGGGACTTTTCTTGCCTATAGCTTTATTGTATAGCAAGAATCCAATCAGAAATAACTGTAACCATGTCCTTTTTTGTATTTCAGTATGATTTGGGTTTCCTTCTTTTTGCAATTTCAAGTAAAGCAGAATGTCACAAAAGCGTTTTTTAAGACCAAACCCCACATTGGACAGGACCACTACAAAGCCTGAATAATATGCGAGAATACCCAGCTCTTGTGTCAAACCCCAGGGGAAAGTCGTGCTTCCCTAACTGGAAATAACCGAAACCCAGTGATAATTGGGACTTTTCCACTGTGTCAGGTTGGTAATCCCACCTAGCAACCAGCATCTTTGAATGAGCAGGCAAAACAATTACTTCTTTCTAATACATTTTCCTTTTATTTTGCTTCAAAGAAGCTGAACCTATTGTCTTTTTTAGACATATGTCCCATTGGGACAAAACCTTGAATATATTCAACATATGTTCTTCGTACAATGTTTTCTTGATGCACTCATTAATCAGCATTTTAAATATTTCCATTGCTCAAACACGTCACATGCGAAACTGTCCAAATAAATAGATAATAATTCAGATATTATACGCAGTTAAATAATATTGTGAAAAACTATACAATAGCAATTTTCTCCGATGACAATGCCATCAATATGAAAAGATTCATGTTGGATAAACTAGGCCAGTGTTTTTCAACCTGTCAGGTGTGCCGTGAAAAAAAAATCATTTTTACATACTGTCACTTCATTGGTGAAAAAAAAAAGAGCCAACTTGTGTGTGTGTGTCGTCGCGCTGTTGGTGGCATGAAGGCTCAATACTCCCCTCTGCCTGTGGGTGGCGATACGCAGCCTAATTAATAGGCAGATTTGCTGAGGCGACAATTTAAAAAAGTGATATTTAAGGCCGGCGCATGCTTCTGCGTTTTTCGTCTGCGTCGTTGCGTCGACGCACTCGTTTCAATTCATGGTTCTGCGTGTGTTGCAGAGCAATTCACCGCCAGAACAACAGGCGGAGTGACGTGTTTTGTTGAAGACGACCTAGAGAGTCACGTCTATTTATTTATTTGTTTGTTTATTTATCATATACTTTATTGCCCCATGCATCGACACTGTTGCTTTTCATCGCGGACACATATGTCCCGTATTTTCCTCCACAACTTTGTTCCTCTCGACCAGCGTTTGCGGCGATCTCCCTCCATGAATCCAACCCGCTTCTACAACCCGCCAATGACGGCTTGTATAAGCGGTCATATTTACGCATTTCTTCCGACAAAAGTTCTTAAATCTACTCCGTTCTCTGGTAAACATTCTTCGTTTTAATAATGGCGGTATCGGGCTACGAAAGCGGAAATGTAAGACTCCGTAAAGGACGTAGTTAGCGGACCAATCGCAGCCTGGTGCGCTGCGGGAGGCTTGCGTCGCTTTCGACGCACGCAAGGACGCAAGGAGGTGTGAAAAGCGACGCAAGGGACACGCAAGGGGGGCTTGCGTCTGCGTCGCTCCGAAAACGCAGAAGCATAAACTAGGCTTAAGAGATACCTGGGCATAAAGCCTGTGCCATCTTGGCATTAGGATGATGTTAAGTTTAATAAAACACAACAAATAGAACACGCGTTTCCCTGATTTCTTAGAGTATATTATGCTCATGCTGAAACTATGTTTGGGATTGATTTTCATATCATTTCCGATTTCTTCTGTGTCTTAAGTGTGCCTTGACGCAAAAAAGGTTGAAAAACACTGCACTAGGCAGAGCTGTAAACAAATTCTGCAAACCTTTTCTAAATGTATCATGTCATCCATTATGAAAATAAAAAGGCCAATAAAAAGATGACTGGTGAAATAATCCCAGGGGTGTCGGCTGTGTCAAACCTCTATTAGCGAGCATGCTGCACCAAAATTCCCTCAGCTGTCCAATGTCTGCTCACTAATCAATTGAATCAATTCAATTGTACCTATCAAGACAGATGAGTAAGACTTGAAGATGTTTTAAGGAGATCAAAACGTTGAGGACCAGCAACTTCCTGATGTTAAACTCACTTGATGATATAGTTTCTGTCATTGCCCTGGAATCCAGAATCATGGAGTTATCTTACGGTAGTTATATCTGATGGTGATTATATCTGGGGGTGGTTGTCTCTGCAGTGGTCTTGGCGTACACCTGGCTCACTATTCGCAATATTAGAATAATTTCTGTTATAGGGATTGAATGTACTGGAGACTGCAACACGCGTTAATGTATATATATATACATTAATATATAATGAATTGATCAGAGCCGACACCCCTAGTTCAGACTTTTCAGGGGACTTGGTGCATTTTAGAACAAACACAACATGAATGGTAGAGCTGGTTAGTTGTAGCTCTTGGCTCGGGTGCAGGTGCAACCCACAGCTACTTTGACAGTGACCGGCTTCAGGTAGTACCTCCTCCCGTCGTCGCACAGCTCCCTCTTGAGGAACACCCTGCTCTGCGTCACAGGGTGCGAGTTGTAGTCGTGGCTCTCCACCGGATGCTTGTTGTTCTGGATCAGGACGCACCCGGAACACAAGCACTGAGCCTCGGAGTAGCTGGAAGGAAAGTGATCCTCCTTTGTGACACGCCTGGAAACGAATGAGATGAGTTGGTGATTCGCTTTTCCCGAAACATCCATTATGCTTTCATAAAACTGCATTTCATTTCAATGCTAGCTTCTTGTAGCTAGCAATGTAACTTCTTTTCCTACACCAACAGTAAATATACATTAACGGTAAAGTTTTTTTCGAGATCTAGTTTGACAACTGTGATTAAACGTGACATAAACGTGCACATTTTTCTTTTGAAGTGGACTTCTCGTCATGGCCTCAGCCAAGAGTGAAACATACTTTAATGCGAACTTTTAAGATGTAGCGTACGGTTTGCTTCAGTGGTGTAGTCTATATTTTATAATGGGTGAACCGGTCGGCTGGTTTGCTTTCTGGGTCACATTGAATAAAACACAACTGCTTTGTCTTCGATTGAAACACACACGACGCACAGTGGGGAAACACTCGGATCACTTGGTTTGATATATATCTGATCAGCTTGATATATAACAATACCAAGCTGATCAGTGATCTGCTTAGAATGAAAACAGAAGAAGCTTCGGAAACTAGAGGAAAGATTCCCAGTCTCCGACAAACAGCCTGTTGATACGGTGCCAGGGATTACTGCACAGTTTGCTCGGTGACGTCATTTACCTCATTCCCAGTGGATATGTGGCAGCAAAGCAGTATTGTATGAAGAGGGGACTTTTCCTTCTCACGCACCAAGCGGTGCAGGGTGTGCCACGGTATGCGCACTAACAGGTCACGGGGATGCGCAAATATTGTGCAAATGTGAATTCCACTTCCAGAGGAACTTGCCATTTGTTGTTAAATATTTACATAAATGTTGCCTACGTTTTATGGCTGCATATTTCTATCCCATGCTAACAAATGGGTTCTCCTTATTTTAACCTGACATGATTTGATATCTTGGTTGTCCTCACAACATTCCGCAGCCGATCTTGAACTGTGACTCCTCCTGATGGAGCTACAGTATGAATGTCTATCTAAAGAGCTCATTGAGCTTTTCGGGTTTAACTACAATTCCATCATAAAGGAAAATCAATCCCAGCGGCAGGATAAAAAGATCTTCAGATCACTGCAACAAATATGCTTCTATTTCTATTCTCAAATTGTCTCCATCGGGTCTTTGTTTCCAGCTGGGACCTAACTGAGCAGTTAACTGGCGTCATACATGTTCTGCGTCTAAAATCAGTTTGAAATTAAATACATGCAAGCTGCGTCAGGATGATACTCACACGTATCTCCATGGTGACAGGGACCTGTCTCGGACGTGCTGAGGCGGCTGCTGCGGGAAAAGCGACACGGGGCAAGAGGCCAAAGAGTTGGACAACGCCGCAGTCGGGAACTCGTGATGCTGTGGGTAGTGGCTCCTCAGCTTCCTCTCCGCTGCCTGGTGCAGCTCGCTGACATTATAGCACCGGTTCATCCTGCACGTCCACACGGGCACGAGACAAAGTCCAAAGATGAGAATCTGTGATGGGGCAGACAGACAGAAAGACAGTCAGACAGACAGACAGCTGCAGTGGATGCAGCCAATATGAGCTCTGTCCTGTGTGTCCCTCTCACCTGCTTTATGTCCATCCTCTGTCCCTCTCTTCTGGCTGACTGTTCTTTCTTTTACCAGCATCCATCCTCACCTGTCTGCTATTTATGGAGTGCCCAGGTGGGAAAAACCAGCATGAGGAAATGGAAAGGCCGTTTAGTTTGTATACTTCCTGTTTCCTAAGTGAAAGGAGCCTGCAGCAGGTAGGTATGAGAGCGGTCTCGTACTGAGGGTGGCCGAGGAATTTTCTACACAGACACACACACACCCGAGCACTTGAGCGCCGAGAGGCTGACGGCACCTGGTAAATATGCTGCCGAACAAAACCAAGTACTGAAACCAGAAACTGCTGCTGATGAAATCTATTTTAAGAGCGGCCTCTTGACCTTTGACCTGAAGTGATGCCATAATTACAACATCCAGCCCACGGCTTTCATTGCTTTTACATGTATTTATGACATTGTGCTGTATTAAGGAATAATCTTTACATAATGCTTTTACAACTATTGCTGAGTAAGGCAACTTCTTACCAACCCCAACTAAATCCTTCCTTATATCCCTTATTTATTGTCCCATAATTTATAAGTGCCTTTGTTTTAACGTATGTTGTTATAAGTGTGTCTGAATGTGTCTCTGTCTATGTTTATTGCATTGTTCAATACATTTGTTTGAGTAAGGCTAATTCTATTATGTATGTTGATATTTTGATATGTCTTTACTCATTTATTTAGCCGTTTAACCCAGGACTTATTATTTATGCATTTTTGTTTGAGAACAAATTCACATGGTAAATGGACCGTACTTGTACAGAGCTTTTCTAGTCTTCTGACCACTCAAAGCACTTTAAAACTTCATGTCATCATTCACCCATTCACACACTGATGACAGGTGCTACCATACACAGTCCCACCATCAGTAACTAGCATTCAGTGTTAAGTGTCTTACCCAAGGACACATGGGTTAGCAGGGGCCTGGGATTGAACCGCCAATCCTCTGATTGGAGGACGACTCCACTCACCCACAGTTGCCCACATTTGACTGAATATATTTACTTGCATATATCACTTTGTACTAATGTATTTATTCCAAACGTATTTCTTTGTTTCTGGGCACATAAAGATGTATTTCACTTTTATATATTCATTTTTGAACCATAAGAAATAAAAGACACTTTGTCTATTTGTTTGTTTATAAGTTAGAAATACAATCAATCATAACAAGGAAATGAGCCATGGAAAATCCCACACAGGCCATGCCATGTGTGTCGGACTACTAGTTTTAATGAGCTAAAACAACTTTTTGAATACAGGGTTGTACCTCATCAACCTATGACATCAAATTTAAAAAAATGAAATCATTTTTTGTATCTCTCTTGGTTATTGTGAGAGAATTTCCAGCAGAAGTTTGTATGACTGTCCCAGTAACACTGCCAGGTGGCCATAAGGTGGCAAACCATTATACTGTATGTCAACCTCACTAAGGGCACAAACAAGTACAACATTATAATTATAATTCAAATCATACACAGTTCTATACACAAATCATGCAACAACTGTACACAACTTTGAAAATGCTTTTTTTCTGAATGAAATTTGGATTGATTAGGGTTGAGCTATTCCTGCTCCATACAGACTCAAAATGGCGTACTATATGTCATATATGCACACATATGGTCACATCTTCATAGTTTACTCAACTCAACCTGAGTCTGAAGCAGGAGGAAGTCCGGGTGCTGTGGAAGACGTTGTGCCTGGTCTCAGTACCAAGGAAGACAACTCTGCCTGGCCTCAATGACTACTGACCAGTCGCCCTTACATCCCATGTGATGAAGGTGCTGGAGAGGGTGGGTCTTGACCTACCTTTGACCGCAGGTGAAATCATCACTGGAAACCTTTGCAATTTGCTTACCAGGCTAATGTGAGGGTGGGTGACGCCATCATCTACCTGCTGCATCCCAGTCACATCTAGATGGAACCGCAGGCGCCGTCAGAATTTCTTCTCCACTTCTCGCACTTCTCCAGTGCATTCAACACCATCCAACCACTCCTGTTGAGTGAGAAGCTGCGGGTGGTGTTGGTTAATGCGTCCACCGTCTCCTGGATCACTGACTACCTCACGGGCAGACCACAGTTTGTCCAACAGGGCCGTGTGCTGTCTGATGTGGTGGTCAGTGATACTGGAACCCCACAGGGAACTGTCCTGTCTCCCTTCCTGGTCACTAACTTCTGGTACATCTGGTCGGGCGTATAAGGAACAGAGGGGAGGAGTATAGAGCAGTAGTGCAGGACTTTGTGAAGTGGGGCCGGTAGAAATCACCTGACTCTCAACATGACCAAGACCAGAGAGATGGTGGTGGACCTGGGTGTCTCCATCGACAACAGACTGAACTGAAAGGCCAACATCAAGGCTGTGTACAAGAAGGGGATGAGTCAACTTGTTTTCTTGGAGCTGGTGACACCAACACACTCAAGAAGCTGGTGATCATTGGCTGCATTTAGAACCAGTGGTGGAGAGGACACTGAAAAAACTATTGCCTACATTGGATAACAAGGACCACGCTCTTCACCACCTACTGCAGGGACAGCGGAGCACCTTCTCCAACAGGATGATCCAGCTGTCCTGTCACAAGGACAGACACCGGAAAACATTCCTGTCAACTGCAATAAGACTATACAACATCACCCCCGGCTAAGTCCTTGTTTAATTGAACTCTCTTAATTTAATACCGCAGCACTACTGTTTTAATTGTATTTTATATTCACATACACTGTATATACTTGTGTGCTGTACTTTCTTTTTTCTATTTAATTCTCAAATTTGTGAATGTCCGGCTCTGCTATTTTTGTATTGTGTATAAATTGTGCATTTTAATTATAATTACTACTGCTACTGCTCTTCTAACCTTGAGTATCTCATGGTTAGGTGTAGACCGTTCTATCTGCCCAGGGAGTTTACATCTACTGTTGTGACTTCAGCTTATATCCCCCTGTATGCTAATGCTAAACTGGCAATGAAAGAACTGCATACTGCCATTAGCAACAGACTTTACATCCGGAGGCAGCCTTCATTGTTGCGGGTGACTTTAACCACTCCAACCTGAAGACTGTACTCAAACTGTACCCAAATTCTACCAATATGTATCCTGCCCCACGAGAGGAGACAAGCCTTTGGACAAGGTCTATACCAACATCGCCGATGCCTACAAGGCAGCCCCCTCCCCACCTAGGACAGTCTGACCACCTCTCCTTGTTTCTTCTCCCGAAATACACACCACTCATCAAACGTGTGAAACCCACAGTGAGGACAGTTAAAGTACGGCCAGAGGGAGCGGCAGAGTCTGCCCTACAGAAGCACACAGACTGGAGTGAGTTTGCCACTCAGGCCACACTGGACTCCCACACGGACATTGATTCCTATGCCTCTTCCGTTCTGGACTTCATCAACACCAACATCGACAGTGTTACCACACTTAAACGAATCACCACCTTCCCCAACCAGAAGCCATGGATGAACAAAGAGGTCCGCCTACTGCTGAAGGCACGAGACACCGCTTTCAGATCAGGTGATGCTCAAGCCTACAGTTCATCCAAGGCTGACCTGAAGAGGGGCATCAAGCAGCACAAGCACTGCCACAAACTAAGGATTGAGGAGCACTTCAAGAACAACTCCGACCGCTGTCGCATGTGGCAAGGCATCCAGGCCATAACAGACTACAAACCCACCAACACCACCCCCCTAAAACAATGATGCCTCCTTCCCTGACGAGCTTAACAGCTTTTATGCACGCTTCGACAGGGACACCCAGGAGGCCACCATCAAAGCTGTGCTCACTTCAGACCAACCAGCCCCTCACACTCTCCTCCACTGACGTGTGTACTGCACTGAGCAGGATTAATGGACGGAAGGCTGCTGGCCCTGATGGCGTCCCCGGACGCGTGCTCAGGGCCTGTGCTGGCAGCTATGTTCGAGAGGCTGGTCCTGGCTCACCTCAAAACCTGCTACCACCCACACTGGACCCCTTCCAATTCGTCTACCGCAAGAACAGGACTACGGAGGATGCCATCTCCATGGCCACTCCGCCCTTCTCACCTGGACAATAACAACAGCTATGTGAGGATGCTGTTCATAGACTTCAGTTCAGCTTTCAATACTGTCATCCCCTCCAAACTAATCACGAAACTCAGTCACCTGGGTATCAACACTTCCCTTGTAACTGGATACTGGACTTCCTATCCAACAGACCCCAGTCTGTTAGGGTAGAGAACCACACCTCCTCAACCCTCATCCTGAACACTGGTGTGCCACAGGGCTGTGTGCTAAGTCCTCTCCTCTACTCCTTCTTCACCTATGACTGCACACTTGTACACGGTTCTAATACCATTGTCAAGTTTGCAGACGACACAACGATGATTGGCCTCATCAGTGACAACGATGAGTCGGCCTACAGAGAGGAGGTCCAGCACCTGGCGGCATGGTGTGCCGACAACAACCTGGCCCTCAACACCAAGAAGACCAAAGATCTAATTGTGGACTTACGGAAGAAAACTGGCACACACATCCCCATCCATATCAACGGGACGGAGGTTGAGCGTGTCGCCAGCTTCAAGTTCCTGGGTGTCCACATCTCTAAGGACCTCTCTTGGACCCTCAACACCTCATCCCTGGTAAAGAAAGCACACCAGCGTCTCTGAAGAAGGCCCATCTGTCTCCTCACATTCTAGAGAATTTCTACCGCTGTACCATAGAGAGCATCCTTACAAACTGCATCTCAATATGGTATGGCAGCTGCTCTCTCGCGGACCGTAAATCACTGCAGAGGATGGTGAAAACTGCCCAACGCATCACCGGTTCCTCACTCCCCACCATTGAGGCCGTCCAGAGGAAGAGATGTCTGCGGAGGGCACGCAGCATCGAAAAGGACAGCTCTCACCCCAGCCACAGACTGTTTGCCC